TTTAGCGGGAGCCCCCCCCCCCCCCCATATGTCATGTGCTTAATCATTATTTATCCTCTCATCCACCTATCTCTCCATCAAAGCCATCCACTTCATCATGGTGCTGAAACAGCAGTGTCCCCAAATAATTCCTGATTAAATCAAGCCGATGAGCATCTTCCTCCACCTCGGTAAACAACAGCAGGATTTACAGGTTCACAGCTCTTTAAGGCTCCTGGACAGTCATAGTTCAATGCTGCTCAGTGGTGCTACTAATCACACCAAGGCCTCTTTGTGCCCTCGAACATGGACCATCAACCTCAAAAGGAAAACTGTGGTGATATCTCTGCAAACCTGCACTGATGCAATATTAGTACAGATTAATGTAATACAGGAATACAAAGAGAACAAGAGCATTCTAAATAGTGCATCATGTATTGTATTGTACATTTACATTTTTGGCATTTCACTGCCATTTTTCCCAGAGCACTGCCATAAGTGGAAAAAATACATTAACACAAATAATTACTGCAAGCTGTGAGTGCTGCCTCCCACTCCTCAAGACCTACGTATATAATACCAGGAGAATATTTTTGAAAATAGAAGGATAGCAGTAGTGCCTCATTTAGTTTGAGAACTGAAAACTAGTCGGGCAGAGAAAAGTTTTCTGCAGCTCTTTGCCTTAGGATTTTTGAGGCGTCAGTTGTCTGACAGTGATGGGGCACTAATGTGACTTGTCAAGCTGCACTTCAGACTGGTCTGTGCTTTCTGCTCTGACCCTCCCTGCTTATCCCCCAGCTCGCGTCTCTGGCTGGAGAAAGGGGGCTGTCCGTCTAACAGCTACTGAGCTGTAGGGATCAGCACAGTCTGGTGGCTGACAAACAATTTTGCAGCCTTTCGTCTTCCAGTCATAAATGGATCTTGCATGCTGGTATTTTTTGTGATTCTACAGCTGCTGAAAATTGTCCAGTCAGGAGCTCAATATACTGTTTGGGTAAAATATGCAATAAAATACATAATGAAAGGTAAGAGAACCTGGGGAGACTCACACTTTATTTACTGATCTGGCAGGAAAAATACTGCTTCCAGTATTAAACAAGACATACTGTACAAGCAGTACATTTCGAAAACACTGCATTTCACTCACAAACAAATTTATTCTAATTTATAAGCAACAATACAATGAAGACTGCACCTCTAACTGCCACTGAGGCCAGCTGGCCACACAGGTACTGCAAAACACATCACGTGCACTCGTTTAGCCTTTACCTGCACTGCACTGGCCTCAGTTATACATAAACAAAAACAGACAGCATGTGTGTATCAGCGGTGCAGGTCAATGACACGTGATCGTTTCACCGCCAGCACTAGTGCCGCAGTCATACTTCACAATGTCTTCATGTTACAGCCTCTGCCTCGAGAAAATGTTCTTCTTCTGTGTCACTCTACTGGTTCCCAGAGCAGTACCTCCCAGGTAGATCCGTGCACAGACTAGGTTACTCATCAGCACTCCTGCAGTTGGCAGGGGTCACAAACAAGTACATTTTATGCAGAGTTGCTGTTGTGTAAGTGACCCTGATCTGTAGTGCCATAAAAATCAGGCGAAATGGGAAAAAGTTTCAAAAATGCTTGGGCACTAGTGGCACTGCAGGTGCTGTCTGTTGCATCTCATTAAATCAGTCATTAAATTGCACATCAGATACCTTATCTCTGATGCGTCTTAAAGCTTTGGCATCTACTAAGCTTTGTCCTGCAGCGTTCAATGTCATCTACAGAATTTAATATTTCTTCTGCACTCGCATTTATCTAGACATTGTGATTGTACTCTAAAGGACTGTGGAGACAGCTCCAGTATGTATATGTTTAGAGTAATTATGCCCAGGACTCCTCCAGAAGCCCAGAAGCAGATTGTCTGAGTGCACCGTCTTGGCTCTGTTATTCAAAAAAAATGTATGTTATGGACAGTGATCAACTTTTAGCACCATCCATTCGAGCTACATTATGTTAAAAATTGCACCCATGGCAGGGGCAATAAATGGCAAGTCAGCCAGACACAGTGTGGTGCTAGGAAAATATAAAAACACATGGAGCTCAAGGGGAATATAATCATTACTCATAAGTAAACAGTCATATTGATATAAATATATAGAACTGACTCCAAAGGTGGAAAAGAGAAAAAGGTGAGAAACTGAAAGGTTGTTGAAATTCACAAAATGTTTTCTTCATCATCTTTTTCTTTAGCTTTATTAGTTTTCCTCTTCTTAATAATGATTAACATTATCATCATCCTGCTGTTCACATGATCATCATCCACTCCATCAGAACTTTTCTTATCTTTTACACCTTCTTTATCATCATCATTCATTTCCCTACCCCACATTCCTAATCTTCATCACATGGAGAAGTTGCTGGTCATAATTTTTATATTCTCATTCATCTATTCTTCCTACTTTGTCTTGTTGATTGACATCATAGTCTTTTCTTTCCTCATCATCTTTATAGTCCTTTCTCCTACTCTTTATCTACTCTAATCACAGTCATTATCCTTCCTTCCTTGTCATCATTCGTTACCTTTTCTTCTCTAACAGAGTTCATCAATTGAATTTATAGTAATAATGATTTCCCTATATTTTCACTGATGCTTTGACAGCAATAGCTTCACTTGTATGTTCATTCTTCTTCAAGGATAGTTCAATGGTTAAGAAGTTTTCTAAAATGACTGTTTGAATCCAAGTCCTTTGAGAATTCACCACAGCACCTGCAGTGTTATTTTAAATCAGCCCGACCTGGGACCTGCTGTGATGCAGAGTGCCAGAACATCCTGACCTTAGAGTCTGACAATTTCTTGAACCAACTGTGAGTCAAAGGTGATAACAAGGCCATGAGTGTGTGTTTACTGATGGCCTTGTCCAGTCTCTTATGAGTCACAGAGGACGGCAGGGCTTTCCAGGGAAATGCACAATTGATTCAGACTAATGAGATTATTTCCATAGGTTCCTCTTAAGACAAACCCTGTGGTTGAAATCAGCAGTACAGTGAAATTTTGTTCACTTGGATTTAAGGATGAACGGATTAGATTTCGCTGGTCAAAGGTCAAGGTCACAGTGACCTCACGACTTGCCATATCTCAGAAACACCTTGAGGCTATTTATTCAAAATTGCCACAAACATCCAGGTGGATTCAGGGAGGATGTGACAAAGCTCTCCATCAGTCCTCTGCAAAAATAGTCTAAGTGAAGACGGTATGTTTCTCACTGGAAGTTTTTCACTACTGATAACTTCCAAATATTTTTTATGAAATGCCTTCAGTGTATTCTTCGAGTCTGGACAGGCATGCACGTAAACTGCAACTTGACTGGTTGGGGGTGACGGCATACAACTGCAAGGTGATAATTCTAGTCACACTAGAAATTGGTTATCATATTTTTTTAAAAATACAAATGTGATGGCAAGCCAAATTAAGACTAAACTCAAAACCCTAAAGACATGTCATAATACGCTTCAGAAGACACACGATTAGATATTTAACCAGCAGAGAGACTTCCATATCTCCCTGTGCACGGTGATGGACAGGAAGCAGATCATGACACACAAACGTACAATTGAAACCAAACAAAACAAACAAGTGTGAATGGCAGCATGTATCATTTTCTGAAGGGATAAAAACAAGCCAAGCTCTACCCTGACTCCAGCTGAGGATTTAGATGTGTGACACAAACTTCTGAGCACTTCTATTACCCATCAGTAATCATAGACTCCCAGTATAGTCTCTAGTCCACCTAATGCAAACTAATTTCTGCAAGACTGCATGTTCAAGTAAATGACACAAAGAGAGTGATCATGTAATTCAATCATTCCTTTCCACATGAAGCACAGACCACACACATACTTGCTGGAGCCTGGATTTCTCTCCTTGCCTAGTGTCAAGGCGCTCGTGACCAGCCCACAAAATGATGCCAATTTCCTGAATTTGTATAAAGTGAGGACAATATATTTTGAAATCCACTGTTCCATTCATCAGAAGTTGAATATCCCTTCCATTCATTGAAGGATCACAGACTGACGACATGACAAGGTGTGTTTCTTCACCTCCTGTAGGACACTGACCAAAGAACTGTTTTCCTTTGTAACTGAGGAAAACCTTTTTTCTCACCTAAATTGTATAGTACAGTGATCAACAAACAACACACCCCAGTAGATTTTCCCTATCATCACTTGTGACTTCAGTCATGCCAATTTAAACTGGTTTGCCAAAAATCCACCAGCATATGAAGGAGAAAGGAAGATGCACACTCACACTCACTTCAGTGGGTAAGTGTGTCCAGACTTTTGACTAGTAGTGTTGATTTTTAGTTTCCAGTTTTGGCACCAGTTCATTGTCGTCTTTAACATCTGTTCCATGCTGCACTGTGGTGGATGACGAATGGCATTTTGTTTCCTTCTTTGTATGGAAAGGACACAACAACAGTGCGTTTGTGCAGGACAGCTTTCAGGCTGTTTGAGTCTGTGTACTTAAGCTCTTGCTCAGTTACCAACCACACCAGAAGCTACAGCTCAGCATCCATCAGCAGCCTCCAGCTCCCACCTCTAAGCAGCTCTCAGACAAAACCAGCTGACTCTGACCTGAGAGAGGACAACAAATCCTCTGCCTTTTGTCTCTTTGACACATTAGTTTAACTTGAGAACCTCTCTCCTCAGAGACCAGTGACTGCGTGGTGAGCCATCCGTTATCTCAGCATGACATGCACACACAAGCACTCTACCCACATAGGGACTGTGTGCACACATACTCCACTGCGGTGCTGCTTAGCATTCTCTCGCTCTCCTCACATCATGTTCACACGTGGCCATTTGCTTCTTATCTGAAGATGCACACACACGTCAGGTTAGGAGAGCAGCGGTATTATCTCATTAGACTGCGATTAGAACAAACACACCACTGACTCCCGAATCAGCTGAGGGGAGAAATAACAATCCCTTGGAGGACTTGTGCAATCATACTGGAGAGACAGAGAGTGAGAAAATTTAACATATCCTTGTGCACCACCTCTGTGTCGACAGTTGCGAGTTGTTCTCTGGCAGAAAAAGAAGCCCGGAAGCACACTTTGCCTCATCAGATGCACTTGTGCATTTGAGGGAACATTGTGCAGATAACTGAGGATATGATAAGTGCTTCATACGATCTGTGAGGGCCAATTTTCTGTGGAAATCTATATGCCTTCAAAGAGTTTGTGCAAAAACCATTCAAAGGAGGGTCTGGTAGGGCAGGAAAAATTAACTTAATTCTAAAAACAATGAAAAAAGACACCTACAAAATAAAGTTTGGAACAATTTTGACTTGCTTGCATGATGCACACTACAAAAGTTTGGATATGCTTTGCCATTTAAGACTGAACAGCCTTATTGTCAGTAGTGATGGTCCTCTGACACCTGAGGCTCTGACACACGCATGGTAGCTCATGAAGCAATTGTATTGAACCACTGTGCCGAGGCGTGTTTTGGTCACGTGTCATTGAAGCCTCGAGTAATGAACCATTTTTGTGAATACTGTGTCAAAGCTTCAACAAAGCCTTGATCAGCCATCACTAACTGTCAGTCCAGGAAACGTATTCCAATAGTCCAGGCATGCAAAGACAGGCAGAGATGAACGGGCAGTGATGTCAGAAATCAGGCAGATAATCCAAAACAAACAGGTACAAGGTAAATGGGCTAAAAGCAAAGTGCATAAACTAGCCAGAGTTAGGAAAAACAGACATCCACTAACTGGTAAGAGAATCACTGGCAAGATACTGTCCATCAAGAAATTAAGAATTTTGCTGAGGGCAAATGGAGTAAATACAGGAAGTAATTCTGAAATGAGGGGCAGGTGGGCAGGGCAGAGTCAGGTCATTGTAAATGGAGGGAACGTACGGGGCCATCTGGTGGCTGGATTGAGAATTGCAGGGAACAGGGAACAATTCAACTGAAATTACAGGAATTCACCCTGCTTTTTGAAATACTGGTGTAACTGGGCCTTTCACCTGTCACAAATTACATTTTATAATTTCTTTTTGAGGTGTGGGGACTTCATGCAAGTCTGGCATGGTCCAGTCCAACCAGTCCTAATCAGCCAGAATACCTGAAAACATCTGCATTTACATGTTTTATAAAACATGTTCTCTGAAAACCATGACTACCACCCACCAAGGAGAATAATTGTCTATTTCTGTAATGGGCTGCAAATCCAGAACAATTCATAATTCCTAAACATTTCAAACAGACAGTTACTCTCTGAGTGCTTCTTGTTGATGCTTTTATCCAGCTCCAGCTCCACATGAGCTGATGTACAGAGACATTTTCTTTCTTTGCTTCATGGCAAAACAGGACTGTTTGTGACACTTGTCAGCTGCCAGACAGCTTAAATATCCGGCCACAAAATGGTTTTATGTACAGTATATATAAATAAAAGGGGACTGCTGCTCCAGTTCTGCGCAAGGTCTTGGTGACGGGATGCAGAAACAGAAACATCTGCCCTCTCATGACAGTTTTACCACCTTTGTTCACTCACTGACAAATAGCTTGAGTCAGACCTTGCCTGTGGCACTGGCTCGGCCGTAACACAAAGTCAAATAAAACGTGGAGAGGAGTCTGGGTACCAGAGATTATTAAGTGGATGATGTACTATGTTTCTGTCCAAGAGGGCAAAAAGGGTTTCAGGCACTACTTATTGATCCGATCTGAGAAAGATGGCAGCATTTTCTTGTCTTTTGGTTATGGTTTTTGATAGGCACACAGCCAAGTCCAAAACATTTCTTTTGCAGCCAAGAATTCTTGTAATTTTATTTATTTTACTTGTTCAAAGCCCATAAGGTCAGTGTGTCTTTCTTCAGCAGGTGCTTTCTGTCAAGGAATAAAAACCTGACGTGGTAATATCTACCATTTATCTGCCGATTCCCACTTTGTCCATAAGAACGCCTTAGTGGCATTTTATTTCTTCAAATGTTTAATAAATCTTATTTGCCCAGGGATGCCGACTCAAAATACAGTTTAATGCAGCATCGGCCTCATGCTGGATAAATGTTTACCCCCTGACACCCACTTTATTAGGCTGGGTTAGCAGCATTTTCACCAGTGCCAGTGTCTGTCACATGCAAACAGCTCCTATATCAAATGATGTCTCTGTGGACATTTCCATCAACACGGTGTGTAATAAAGAAATGGATGATCAGCTATAGGCTAACGTCAGCAAAGCTTTTTTTAGGCAATTCAAGTGGTCAAAAATTAAAAAATCATCTTGACAAAAAAAAAAGATACAACAAAAAAACATCATTTTGCTTTAAACTTTGCTTCTGACTACAGTAATTCAGAGACAGGTGAGGTATTTCCCTTCTTGCTCATCATCTTGCTCTCCATAAACAACGTTGCACTGCATGTGTTTTGGTCACTAAGATCAGCATCACAAAAGAAATAAATTATGAATAATTCAATCACAAAAAGCCTTCTTTAATAAAAGTAATTTCCTGGTTCACATTCATGCTGCCATACTGTACATTGTTCAGCTCCACTGGATTAGGTGCAGTGTGAGTGCCTTGCTCAAGGACAAAGGTCTAATAAGCCGAGGGAGCGGAAAGTGTGCTTAACTCAGTTTCCCCTCCAAGATGCTTCCCACACTGACTCCCACTGCCTCACTGAAGAGCAGCGCATGGAAATGTGTGTGAGAAACAAAAATATATTGCTGTGCATGATAAAAACAAGCATTTGCTTTAGATAATTCACAGCATTCTCAACTGAAGTTTATAGAAATGCAAGAAAAAACTACCTGCATGAACTAAGCAACTCCCAAACTTCTTACTGCTGCAAAAGGCAAATGAGCTACACTTTTTCAAACATTTGAAATTAATGTAAATTGAACAACAGCAGACCCACAACTCAACATCAGATGTCTGCTGTCATCCAAAATGTAAATATTACACTTCTCACCTCCTCTTGTTGCCCTGCATGAGCTGAAGAGTATCAGGACGACCTGTGTAATAATCCCCTGGACTTTTTTACTCCAGAGATCCATGTTAAGTATAAAGATGCTGCAGAAAAGCCTGCTGGGTGAAGGAGGGAAACAGTCTGCCTATCCTCTCTTCTTTACAGTACTCCACCTCCTCCTCCACACTCTCACACTTTCCAGATCCCTGATGAATTCTGCACTTCTGGGTCCTCAGCACTCAACAACATTCGCCTGGCTCCACGGCAGTGACAGGAGAGACAAGTGGCTGCTTTCTGTTCAGCTGCACTCTGCAGAGTGAGGGGATAGAAGAGGGAGCGGGGAAGAGAGAGAGAGAAAGAGCGAGAGCTCTCACTACTGTCACTGCTCCAGTGAAAGGTACTTTAGTCACTGGAAGGACTCGAAGATGTTCTGCTCTGCCAAAATCTTTCAGCAGAATACCCACCGCAGGCCACACTACTCTGCTCCAGCAACGTTTGTGAAAGAGTCATCTCAGGTCCCATTAGGCTCTGGGCTGCTGCTCACACACTGATGGTCTTCATGTGGTTCAGCCGTTCAGGTCAGCTCAGCTGAGTGCTTTGAGTCCACTGAGACAGGGTGCAGAAATTACAATGACTATTTAAAATCTATTTCGTTCTTATATGTTCTGTACTGTTGCTGTGTCTGTAAGCCTGCCACTGTATCTCATCTTATGCATTAACTTACAGATTTAGAACAAAATCCTTCATTAAAAAAATCAATTATATGATTTTTAACCCTTCCTCTGAAATAAATCTAATAAAATCAGCTTTGCTTCATTTCACTTTTTTTCCAAGACCTGGCCAATAGCTGAATAAATCTACTGACATACAAAATCCTGAATTGGCAAGTCCCTTTATATCGGTCTGATCGGCTTAAGCCTTATATCCTACCCCATGGTCTCCACTCTGAATGCAGGGCTCCTGCCTGTGGCCAGAGTTAAAAAGAAGTCAGCAGGCTACAGGACTTTTTCTTATCGTACCCCCTTCCTCTGGAATAACCTCCCTGCTGATATCAAACAGTCTGGCTCAGTGGCGATATTTAAATCCCAATTTAAAACTAATCTCTATGCCATAAGATTCAGCTAGTGGCGTAAAACAGCATACTGTACAGTTAAGATGAGCATGCTGGTATTAAATATCCAAACTAACTGAGAACCACACACAGAACTATTTTCCTGTCATATGCTTTCTTTCTATGATCTCTATCAGTAGTGTTCACCCGTCACATACTTACCCTGTCCACACCAACAGAGGACAATAAACTCCTTTATTCCAGGTACAACCCCTTCCCCTTTTCATGCCTTTGTCCTGCTTTCTGGACAGTTCTGCTACCTGCATCTCTGCCACACACCTGCCCTGTATCAGCTTAATCTCTGCCTTCATATAACCCCCAGCCAGTATTTGTTCTCTGCAGGACCCTCCCACGTTTACCCATATCTGTGCCAGTTGGTTACTGTCTTCTGGTCTGGACTTTGATTAAGAGACTTGTCTGTCCTACTGCACCAATTTGCCAACCAAGAATCCTGATTTATATCCGTTTGCTTGTCTTGGAAAAGTTCAATAAATGTTGTTTTATTGACTCCCTGATTGTCTTTGGCTGTGCAACTGAGTCCTAAGGGTTTTTCTGAGCCGTTGGATTTACCATGTCCTTTCAAACTGCCTGGAATTCCCCCAAAACTAATAACTTCTGACAATTTTAGGTTGTCGGAGTACAAAGTGCAGAGTATTAAAAAAGGTTTTCATCCAAATTCATCCTAACCCATAGAACTGATGTCCATGACACATCTTACAGACTGCATTTTGTCGTCTGGTTTGTTCACAGCAAAACTCAAAAAGTAATGAATGAGTTTTGATTTTTTTTTTTTGGAGAGGTAGGCTATGGCTCACAGAACATTAGATTAGATTGGATTGTTGTAGTAAACCGGATCATTATCCAGAAATTTTTTAAAGAATCTTTAACATTGTGAGATAAGGCCAATTTCTTTTTTTCTGCGAACAACAAGCATAATTGCTACACTTAGTGCTTGTGCACTAAGACATGTCATGTCTGTGTTTGTATTTCACTTATACTTGCTTACAAGGTCCTCTGGTACAGACCACTTCCAGCCTTTGCAGTTAAACAGAAAGGTGTGGAAAAGAGGTCTTGTAATTTGTCTCCTGTCTGAAGGGCACATGTGTTTTGGTGTGCGTTTGAGATGTCTGACACAATCACTCTTCAGTCATCTGTTATTTCAAAAACACAACACACAAGTAATTCTTCTATCTAAATTGGGTTTCCTTACTTTTATTAGAATGCTGTGTAACTATCTCAGTTCTACTGAGTGAAAAATGATAATATACTACAGTCTTTTATCTCTAGTATCAGAGGTAGTATTGCTATTGCTGGATCACATCACTGTGCTAGTTTTATCAGCCATGATGTCTCACTTACTGTATCACACAGCCACAGAGTGAGGTTAGAAAGGCTTTTCAGAAGCAGAGAGGTGGGTGGCATGTGAATGGGGCAGGCGTGTGTGTGTGTGTGTGTGAGAGAGAGAGTAGTGATAGAGTCTAATGCTGCCTGCATCACACTGGAAAGCAGCACCTGACAGAAGCAGAAATGAGTTTTGTGTGTCCGTGTGTCTTGAAGCTGGAGACAAAACAGAGAAAAAAGTGACACTGTCTTCCATCTCTGGATAGTGTGCCTACATTTGGATAGATTCTACTCAGCAAACTTTGTCTAACTGATAGGAAGATTGTCATTGCTACTGTAGATTAATGTCCAAGCTGACAGTAAATATTTGCATGGACAACATTTACTCAGCATTTGTAAACAGTTTTGTGTATCATCAACCGATTTACTGTCCAAATACTGATGTGGAACTGAACTGTGGACTCATTTCATTTTTATATGATCCCGACTAACACAAGAAAATAATTGTATTCACTGAGAAGAGAATATGAAATAATAATAGATAAATATTGTTCCAATTTAGTACAAATCTTGGCTCAACATTTTGGAGACGGTACTGCACGTTATGGATTACAATCATATAAAGTCTGTGTAACATACTGGAGAGACTGATATAAAAGCCTTTGTTAGAGTTCTAAGTCAGTCCTCAGGCAACACAGGCAAGTACAAAACAGAACTGAATATCACTAATAACTTTACAACTTCAGTTTACAAGAGAAACAGCTGATGAACTCATTTGCATTGTTTTTAACAATTTACTTTGTTCTGGCAGTTTGTGTTTGTGGTAAACAACAGCTTGCTTTGCTTTGACTTTGTCACTTTGCTTTGCAGCTGTATTTGAACCCCTCTTCAGGCTCCCGCTTGGCCCCGTTTTGTGTAACTCATTTTTATTTTGCATACCAAATGAAGCCAGCCAGTGAGTGATGCACTACCCCTCTACTTTATATTCATAACACCTGCTGCAGTCTGTGTAGGGCTTTTGGCTCTGGCCAAAGCTGATCAGCCAAAACAGAAAGGACTCTTAGAGTTTGTTAAAGAGTTGATCAGGAATGGTTTAAACTAGGTGAAGGGGGGGTAACAACCCTCCTCCCACAAAGGCTCAGAGTGGGTTAGACATGATTTGGCAGTGAAGATGAGAATAACAATAAATGGTTTTTTATGCTTATTTAATTTCTTTTTTTTAATCACTTTTATTGGCCAAGCATGTTACACACACACAATGAATTAGTCTCTAGTACACAACCAAGGCAGCCATCTGTGGCGCCAACTCACACAGGCTGATGGTGGCACTGTCCTGGCCATTGGGAGCAACTTGGGGTTCGGTGTCTTGCCCAAGGACACTTTGACATGTGGACTGGGGAGAACAGGAATCAGACTGCCAACCTTCCAGCGAGGGGGCGACCACTCTAATCCCCTGAGCCACACCCGCCCCACTGTTGACATTTCTGAACATTTGCATCACTAGGGCACAGTCACTGGGGCGATTGTGGTTCAGTAGGTAGAGCAGTCGTCTCTCAACTGGAGGGTTGGAGGCTCGAATCTCGGTGCCTGCAGTCCACATGTCGAAGTGTCCTTGGGCAAGACACTATACCCCCAACTTGCCCCCGATGGTTAGAGCCATCGGTTGAGTTGGTGCCGCAGGTGGCTGCCTCGGTTCTTTACCGGAAACAAATTCCTTGTGTAACATACTGGGCCAAATAAAGGTGATTATCATTATCCTAGTGAGGCAAAGGAGAGAGAGAGACACTGAACCATGGGGTTATTTTGCTCATGTCATGGACTCTACTACTGAGGTTCAGTTGATGTAGAGTAAATGGGGGAGTAGCGACAGCCTGTGCAGCTGTTGTATGTTTATGGGGTCAAACCCAAAGTGAACGCAGGTCTCCAGAATGACAGGGGTGTACTCACAGTAATGAAGGTTCTGTAGGAGCTATTATTATTTTCCATTCTGATGATGTTAGATGAATAACAATTCCAGACAAACATGAAAGTCTTCTAGCTTAATTATCAGTGCAAAAATGAGCAATAGGTTTAGGAAACCTTGATGACAGTGGCAAGAGCCTGTTTGTGCATAAAAGGTTAAGGGGTAACATCAACAATGACCTCAAACAAACATGCATGGTAGATGTAAGACAGCCAGTTGAAAGAAAGAAAGCTAGTTGTCTGGTAGTTGCACCTCCAGCGTCATTAAATTATCCAAGACATTGTGGTCTTTTTATGCTGAGGAACACTGAAAATGTCATCACAAGAAAACATTTCAATTAGCATGGTGAAGAAAAAACACAGAATACATTTGTATATTCAGAATATATCATTTCCATTCTTTGTTTGTGTTGATACAGGTGATACACAGATCTCTCCACATTCCTTCGTCAACCTCAAAGGCGCAGAAATGAGATGCTAATGCTCATTGCTTGGACACCGCAAATATGAATGAGAGATTATCCTGACTTGTTTACAAGGGGCCTCTACAGGTGTCTCTTGTTTATTGGGCAGCCTGACTGAAAAGTGTATCCTCATGCAGTTTGTAAGCAGGACTATGTTTTAAAATTGACTGCATGGTCTTCACCCTAAGTGGTGGTGTGACAATAATCAGAGGCCCTCTACCTGAGCACAGCTGTTTCCATCATTGACTCCATGCATTTCCTCATTATTGACCACAAGAAAGGCGTGCTTTCTTTGTGCTACTGCTGACCTCCACACAGCTATAGTTTCAATAACCTGGATATATTAAGAAACATCATTGAAAAGAAGAGATTCCTACTTTGCCTTTTAAAAATCCATCACTGACACAGTTTGTATCATCAGATTTGTGAATTTCAGTCCATGCAGCAGGAGGAGGAGGTTAGCATATGATGTACTGCACTTTAGTTTTCCACACAATGAAACCATCAAAGCAGCGGATGGATTTTGTGTCAACAAGAGTTCCCTGGAGACGTAAGCTGCGCCTGCATTCAGGTCTTTTTCAGCTGCTGCCAGTGGAGAAGCTGCTATCTCTGTGAATTTCAAACATTTAATGGCATTGCTAGAAAAATACTGTGGTTTTGTTGTTTGCTGCAGGTGG